GGGGCATGGGTTTTTTTTATAGCAAACGCACCATAAAATGCAAACAAAACCAAAGATTTAAACATTAATTATCTTTTTTTTAGATTCAATTGACTCTTCATTATCTAAATTGTGTCTTTCCTGTTTGCGTATCTTTGCACTATCAACAAATGTATATCCTTAAAATTGACCCTGGTGTTGCTTTAAGTTTGTCACACATTATGTTAGCCAAATCATCTATAGTACCCTATTTCGGCGCCATTTGACCTAAATTGTGTCGTTACGCCGTAAAACCAAACAAGCAGGCATGTAGAATTTCCGTTACAAAATATGTAAACAGTTGCCATTATTTATTTTCACAAATTATTGAATATTAGGTATTCTTACTTCATAGATTTAGGTTTCAAACTGAAGGTAACAATATATCTTTAACTAATGGAATATACAAAACATTTAACACTTTTTATATATGACAAACTTACCCTTTTCATCTCACAAACCTCGTCGTTAAAAATATGGCAACCACGAAGATCAAAAACAGAGTTGAGGCTACCTTTAAACTTAAACAAAAACGAACAAAATCTAAATAAAAATACTAAAATGCTATACGATAAGGGTAAAAACCTATGATAGGGTGTGTTATAAACAGAATATTGTTAATATTCATATCCAAATACCTATGGAAGGATGGTGGAAGCGGGTGACACATGCGCGAAATCATTAGTTTATCAACTAATAATGGCAATCAAAATGTGTGAATGTAATAGCTTTAGAGCAATTAAACATAAGAAGAAGCAAGATAAATAAATGATCTAAAATGCTAGCCTTTAACTTGGTAAAATGCAGTTTGAATCTCAGTAGTAGTAAGTTTTCAGACCTTTCGTCTGAGCTTGACAGTAGGCTTTCTTTAAACTAATCATGTGACCTTTATTGATATTACAAATTGATTTTATTTACGTTTTCATCAGTATAATTCAATAGCACTAACTTGACATGTTTAAAAAAGCAGACAAACATATCAAGCGTATCCTTTTTATACGCTATAAAGTTTAATATATATAATCTAAACTGTTCTGTTCTGCTTCTATTATTCACATTGATTTATTGATTTGATTGTTCGTGAAAGCATCTCTGAAGATCTTCAGTATCACAATATACTTATGTTACAAACTTTAAGCAAATCTGAATCCACAGTCAGAATACTGGGGTATTATACATTATCCCACTGATTTATTTTTCTGCTTCATCCAAGGGAAAATTTGATTCTGAATGAATTATGTAATTATGTGCAACTATTCGTCATCTACATGTATTTGTATGCATGAGCAACTTGAAGTCGTGTAAATCGACACGGTTTTTAAAAAAACGTGTTGTGATCGGTTGCAAAACTGACCCTTGCTTTCTTCTAATGCAAATGTAAAAAAAAAGATCGTACAATAAATAAGACTGAAAAACTAATATTGAAACACAAAAATATCTGTATGCTTTGGCTATCAACACAAGCTTTAAGACATCGAATATATAAAATATACTGTTTCTTATGTTTGAAGATTTCTACCAACAGTAAAACACATAATCATCACGTATTTTATCTTTATAACATTTTAGCTTTGCTTTAGACAACAAGATAAATAGCAAATCTTGAGACATGTTTAGTTCTGCAAGCTGTTATTAAAAAGTATCTAGCTTCCAAAAAAACACTTAAAACAACTGCAGAAATGATCTAGTTACATAGAATATCACTATCTTTCTATCTACATATTTTGCCTTGTGTGTGCATGATATCAGTTTTAGATAATTTTGTGTGTAACTAACTAAATTTTGAATTACCTAATAATGCAGAATATTTCTGAATTATCCCTTTCGTTTCTAATCATTCTCTGATATAGCGAGTGTTTGTCTCAAGTACGATGTTCATTAAAAGCTGCATGACTCCAGATAAGCCAAACTTTTTACATGATAATCAAACTTAAGGGAAACTTTGCTTACATTTTAAAAAAAAGTATAAACGATTCAATTTTCATGTTACGATCCATTAAAGACTGATTTTGCAGTATTTATCATCATATTTCTACTGGATGACTGACGCAGTTGGTGCCATTTCTGCATATCTTTAACCTCTTTTGTTAATTGGCGTGGATTTTAAGTGCCGATTGGAATGTGTAAATTGCTTTTTGTCCAGTTCACAATAATTTACTTTAATTCTATTTTCAAAATTTTCATTATGCATGGAAGCATGCTGTTTTAACATGTACAAATCTTCTATTTTAGCCATATCTGCCATTATTTATGGATAAAAACAATAATATTTCAAAACAAATTTTTGACAACTTAATTTTCGACCAACACAAAACTAAATGTTATTTGTTAGATGAAAAGGATTTTCTACATGTTCTAAAGGCATTATAGGCATACTAATACAATATATATTGACCAACCTGTTTCTTTGTTTTATCATCCTCAGAAAATTTCACTTTGAGGACTGGGGTGCTTTCACTTGCAGTAAAACGTAAAGGTGTACCGTAAGGCGAGCTCTTACTTTGGCTTGGAGAAGCCCTATACGACCTGAAAAGGGTAGTTTAAAATCTTCTGTGGTAAAACCTCTTATCTCGTTACAAGTCTTTTATCGAAAGCATTGTAATTAAATGATTTAAATGGTATATAGCATAAATACAGGCGTGCGAAAACGAAATAGTAAACTTCTTACGTAGAATAAATTGCATTGATATTTTATATAAAAGCAATACAATTGGAAAGTCTTATTCTACCTGAAAAAGGTTTATTTGTAAAACTATCTTATACAAAATGTCGTGGTCAATATCATTTTAGTACTGTGTAAACAAGTCAACTGATTTCGTTGAAGAAATTACTGTTATTCTGTTAAATAAAAATGAAATACAATTGGTTATTATTTTCGCCCATGAGTTATAAGTTTGTAAGGAAGTAAATGATTAGTAAAGAACTTACGTAGGAGCTCTAAGTTCACATCGATGGCGAGACATAAACCAAAGTTCTCTACATATTCGATAGTAGGCGAATGACATTATAAGAACAGGCAGAAGCAATATTAAACAGAACATGTACACTTCATACAACTGACTAACAATTTTATTCTTAAACCATTTAACACACCACGTGGCATTCCGGTGAATCCCAACAGTCAGGTGAACCTGAAATTAAATAATGACAATCTTATGTTACTGTAATTATTTAATTATTAACGCTCTTGTGCAATGAAATGATTCTTAAATATGACAAAATAAAATGTATAAATAGTGTAATAAATGATTAAAAAGAATTCGCCTGTGTCATTTCCTTTATTTCATATTTATCGTCAATTATATATTTGCAGTATACTTGAACTATTGCTTGGATTGTTGATAAAATTTTTTAAAAAAGCTTGAAATTCAATTGCTTAAATATGTGAGTTGTATTTTATAAAGAAAGTTTAGACAAGTGAAGAAACCAAATATCAAGTAATAAAAGCTGATTACCCTTCCGATTAAAATAGGGATAGCTAAAATAAATGACGCCAACCAGAGACAAATGATTGCCCGTCTTGCTCTACTTGCTGTACACACATATTTCGATCTTAGTGGGTGAACTATTGCGTAATATCTGAATAAAACACATAATATCTCATAAAAAATGTGCGAACAAATGTCCCACACTACGGGAAAAAAATAAAACATTAAACACTGTAATAACAAACAAACGTTTAATTTATGTAATTCAATTATACCTCTACCAGTTTCACAATATCATCCGGAGGATAATGAAAATATTAATATGGAAACATGTCAATGACGTCAACGTTATATCATTAGTTATAAAGATTTTTGACAGGTTATATGGCCCTATATAAAATGTTGTTTAGAAATATGACCCGGGCCGCTAGGCGATGGCTATATTGCAAACAACCGTTTATATACGGTCATATAACATATACGAAATATTAATAACGAATTTATAATACAGCAAGCATCATTCATTTTTTGGAAAATTAGAGAGATTTTTTCATAAGTGACAACAGCAGTGTATATAAAACTATATTAACATCAAGATTGTCCAATGAAAAGTGACGTTACAAACGTGCAGTATTGTAATAATATTTTCATTATCCTCCTGATGATATTGTGAAACCGATAGAGGTCTAATTACATTACATATAAAATAGAATATAATTTGTTAAAGTGTGTATTTTTTGTTTAATAATGTAATGTTACATGAACATATTTCAGAGCTTTCAATTTTTATCAGCTTTCTTAGCACACCTTTTTAATTTAAACTTTCGGAAGTAACAGAAACTCATTTCAGTTTAATTATGATATTACACAAATGGTAATTTTTCAGATATTTTCTAATATATCAATTTGAATTCATTCTATTGAGCTCAGACTTTTATTAATGCAAAGGTCGTCGACTTTAAATCAAATGCTCATCGCTGTCGTGGGTTCGAACTCTATCAGGGAATTTAGGTTCTTTCATTTGAGACAGTATCCGCACCGGTGTGTTACGAAGGTGCCCGTTTGTGCCTGAAAAATCGCTATAATGACGATGTCGCAAAAACTTCCAACAGAACAAACAAATAAAATTAATGATTTAATCAATAACAGAATTTATTTTTCTAGACAAAAGTGTTTTAATATATTTATATATTTTTTTATTTTAACAAAAAAATAATTTGTTTAAGCGGAACAAATCGTTTTATATGTTTTATTTGTTTTGTCGAGCCGCTTGTTATCACAACATTAAACAAAAAATAATTGTCACGATGTTTGTAACAGAAAAACTGTTTTAAAATCATTACAAGATTATAAAAGGCATACATTTAAAATCCCTGGTGTGCTTTTACTGCATGATGAAATGTACATTCCGTTGCTTTGAATTAAAAAGCATTTAGGATGGGTATGATTGATATTGAAACAAAAAAGCAAAAAAAAATGTTTTTTTCCCTTAAAATAAACATGTAAACTGAATAATGATTAAAATTATATTGTGGATACACAAAAGAGCATATTTATTTTAAAACGTTTTAAATTTCGAAAGTCTTTGAACACTGTTAAGTGTTGAAAATTTAGTACCACTGAAACTGATTCTGTGGGCGTGAGGGATGTTGCTCTTTTCATTATCCCTCATGTGCCGAAGCCATGTTCATGTAATTTTCTTGTTAATATCTGCCATATGTTGCGGTTCAGATCGGAATATCTGTCCCGAGGGGACCCGCCCATTCGGCGGTAACGAGGCTTGCCGAGTTACGGTCCACAGGCGGGTTCCCGAGGGACGGGTATTCCACTCTGAACCGCAAACATACTAGTATGTCTGATATTTTTCTTGTATATTCTACCATATTCCATCATATTGTAAATTCTTCCACTTGATGAAACATTTTTTCAATGCGTCTGAAAGAAATAGTTGTACAATATCGTCTTTGTAATAATGCAACAAAAATATCCTTATCATAAACCCGCGGACAAGAACGAACTTATTATGTCGCTTCTTTATGTCATGTGCAAGAACGAACGTTATTATGTAAGAACGAACATATCTATATCATGTGCCAGAACGGACTTTATTATGCCATGTGCCATAACTCCACTGAGGTTTATAAGCCTAAAAACATAAATTTTAATTTTTCACATAGATAAACATTATTATAAAAAACAGAAATACAAATAAAATATAACCAAGAAATATCCAAGACATACATTGAAAATCATATGTTTGTGCTATGCTCAGTCCGATTTGGGTGAAAAGCGTTTAAACGCTTTTCAATTTTGGGTCATTTTTCACTATTATAATAATTATTCTGGAAAAACGGAGCGAGCTAATGATCTGATATTTTGCACATAAGTTATTAGTATAGATCTACATCAAATAGAGTAATAATCTGAAAAAATTATTTCCAGTCCCGTCATGTCAAAAAAACCTCAGTTGAGTCCCTTTATATTGTCATATGCCAGAACGAACTTTATTATGCTACATGTAAGAAATATAAGTCTTTATTAACTATGTATGAAATAATGGTGAAATTTAGAGCCTTTTATTTGAACAGTCTCGATAACAATTAAAACACAGCTAAAGTGTTGAAACTGAATTACACATAATTTATTTTAGTAACCACAGCAAATGTGCAAAATATATATCTACTAATGGAAACAAGTAATAAGTCTTAAAAACATTGGTTCATTTATGAATCATTTGCACGCAGTAAATTTATTAGATATTAAATTGCTTTTGCTTCTTGCGGGCATACTTTTAAGATCGAGTTTCGTCTACGTAATTGATATCTTATAAATATTTGTGGAATTAAACGTTCTTATTTCACTTGGAAAGTTTAAAGGAGGATCGAGAAATGTTGTAAGTACGTTTCTCTTCGTCTTAAATCTTAATTTAGTGGGAAGAATATGACATCGAAAATACAATTTCAGTGGCAACTTCGGAAAACAAATACGCACAAGATTTTCAGTCAAAATAAATATATTTGAAACATCATAACAATGATTTCATATAAAATCTGGAGATAGTGTGATCCCTCAGAAGCACTTATCACAAAATAACACACGAATTGCAGACTCGGTTTTACTGAGTCTGTACATAAGGGATAATAAAAATAGTGCAACATCTCTCCCCCTAGCACCGGCTTAAGCAGTACACAATTTTCAACACTTAAAAGTTTTGGAATCAATTATTCTGGAGGACCAGAAAAATAGAACAACACTGAAGTGAAGTACGGGGCATTGTTTTACATATGCCACACATAACTTGACGCCTTGTTGCGAAGTATAAAATCAGGATAAAGTTTGATCCCTCGGTATCTCTAATCACAACAAATTTACATGAGAATTGCATACTCGGTTTGATTGAGTCCGCACATGAGGGATTATGAAAAAGTGCACGATTCCTCGCGTCCCCTAGCACCGACATGAGCGATACTCTATTTTCAAAACTTAAAAGTGTTAGAATCGATGATCCCGAAGGACCGAAAAAAATATTAAAGTCAGATCTAAAATATAATATGAATTGATATTAATATGATACATTTTAAAAGCCATTGATTTGTAGATATAGGAAAATGAGACTTAAAGTTATGATGGAAAGGAATTGTTATGTAAAATTTTCACAAAGGTTCAGTTTAAATAATTTTGTGTCATCGCAATCGATGTATGATAAATCCGCTGTCATGTGAAGAAATATTAATAGGTTATTAAAATATTCTGCAAGATTTACGTCTAACGTGTGTGTCCGCGTGAGAGATGTTGCACTTTTCCACAGTCTCTCATGACCCTAGTCAGCAATTTTCATAGTATAATGGTGTTTTCAATGCTTCTAGGACCCTTATACAGATTTTTCTTTACATATCCTATGACTTTAATCTGAAGGATTTTAATTTCGCTGAATTTGTTTCACAATAGCGATAGACTCTTACATAAAAGGAAATTGCTTCTCCAAGCCTTTGTTTATGTGTGTTTATCGTGAATATTCATCCTGATTTAAAGGCTCCTCTGACGTGCACTTATATATACCTTTTTAGAATATTATGTATACAAATTTCAAACAGATTGTAAAAGAATGGTTAAGTTATTATCAATGTATTCCATTAAATTGTATAACGTTTTATCTGTTATCAACGTAAAAATTTGAACTAAAATTACTTTTGATATCAAATAGTGTTTTTTACACAATGACTGTATTTCTAGCTGGAACAAAATATTGTTGGATACATTTTGGAAAATATTGGTTGTTTAGTTATACATTTATGATGTATAACTAATCAACTTTCGTTTGAATAAATCCTTTCTTTCAGCACATTAACATCATAAAATGTTTCTACGTGAACATTCTTTACTTTATGTTCATTGAAAGAGAATGAAAAATTTACTTACCTTTCAAGACTCATGAATGTTAGCGTAGCGACTGAGCATATTGCAGATACATTCTGTATGTAGTGAATTAATTTACATAAGACCTCCCCAAAACGCCAGATGAAGGAAAAGAAAGCAGCCAGCTACAATGAAGAGAAAAACTTGTTGAATATCTTGAAAACAACAACCATATATGAGCCGTGCCACGACAAAACCAACATAATGGGTTGGCGACCAACATGGATCCAGACCAGCCTGCGCATCCGCGCAGTCTGATCAGGATCCATGCTGTTCGCTTTCAGTTTCTCTGCTTGTTATAGAGTTGGTAAGCGAACAGCATGGATCCTGATCAGACTGCGCGGATGCGCAGGCTGGTCTGGATCCATGCTGATCGCACTCGCATTATGTTGGTTTTGTCGTGGTTGGTTTTGTCGTGACGCGGCTCATATATAGTTTTATAATATTTCATTACAACTATTATTTACATGTTACATGAATCATACAAAACAAATATTCATAAAAATATAACGCAAAAGGATCGGGCTTCAAGTAATAACAACGTTAGCAAAAACGGTACCTTTCATGCAGTTATTTATTTCATTATTTTAGCAACCCTTTCTTTAACCCATCTTGCAAAGATAAATACCAGAAATACCATAACAAGTACTTGTTGCTGTTGGTGTAGTAAAATTATTTTTAGAATTGGTTGTCAAGCAAAGATCTATATATAGTGTTATATGTAATCAAACATTTATGATAGATAAAAAAATGTTACGTTATAAATGATCAAGATCTGAATTATACGACATTTATGGCCATAATGCGAAAAAAACTAATACGTAATTGATATCTACAATACCATTAATCAAATATTTACTCGTGGTAGACAATAAAAACACATTAATTTTATGTAGATGTCATTTGTGTTAAATCACAGAATTTTTTTTTAAATAACATGGAAATTTTGTAAAATATTTATTTTGGAATTAGGATAATATAATAAATTGAAAGTATTCATTTTCCACACGGACTGCCAGAATTTGAACATTTTAAAAAGGAAATTTCTACGTTTAAATTTAAACAGATTTTAATCATCATTATTATTTTGGATTTTAAGTCTCAGTAACACAAGAACGTATAGGTCATATGGCGACTTTCTAGTTTCAGGATCGGGAACCTGAGTAGAACCACCAACGTTCTGTAAGCTGGCTGGGGTGGTTGCCTCGAAAAATATCTCGTATCTTAAAGATTTGACTAAGTGTACGGTATTGATAAAACGAAACTAAGTTGGTCTTGTTTTATTGTATAGGAAAGCATCTTAACATTTCCATACGATGTCGTATATGCTATGGTGACTTGGCGTAATTCTTACATGACATTTTTTTCATTTATTAACGCATAGAATATTGTTGAGAAATTTTGAGAAGAGTGACAAAATCAAGAAAGAGACGGTTAAATGTTTCTACATTAACTTGAGATGTTTGTAATGAAGTTGAAGTCTACACAAATAAAAAGAAGAAAAAATGGGTACAAATATCAGCCAAAGTTAATTCTGTTTCTATGTCACCGCTCCTGTTGATACGATTTTATGGCACATTTAGCTAATTATGGCTAATTTAGAATAAAAGTTTGCTAAGGAAAAAATTAAAGACGTTTTTTTTTAAAAATGATTGTCTTTAGGTCTTCTTCTTATGAGTTAACCACTACTGTAAGACATTTACATTTTTACAAGTTCTTTATAGTTTCTAGTCGGTATGTTGGCTTTGAAAATTTGTTTGAAAAAGATACGGACGTAATTGAGGAATGACTTCTTAAGTTTTGGCATTCATAGACGCATATAGGAGCAGTGTTTCTGAACAATATAGATTAATGTAAACTGATTTGCGTGTATTCATTTTAAGGTTGTGTACGTCAGATTGATATACAAAGCAAATAAATTCTAGCCAAGCACTGCTGAGTATTATCCACTATATTAATATCAAAGGTTGGCTGCATTTAAGTATGTTTCATATTCGCCATATGAATTCAGTGGGAAGTCTGTAACTTATGGCTTACAGTATGAATACTGTATAAGCTGTTTATTTATATATTTGTAAACCACTGCGAGTATATTTTTGTAAACATCAAATGTATACCAATTATAATATTGAAATAAAGCACTGATAATTCTCGATATTTTAAACTACTAACGGGTTTCGAAGGTCGTTTCATCGAATATTATCGTCTAAGGCAATAATGGTATAAAATATTTATATGTATAACTCTCTTCTTATCATTTGCTTTAACATACACACCATTATTAGCTTTTAAAAGCTTCTAATGGTAAAATGTATTGTTGAGAAATATGAAAGAATAAATGTGTTAAGACATAAAACATATAATGCTTTTAGTTTAGTGAGCTAGTAAAGAACATACACGTGGTTCATTAAACATGTTCTATAATAACACAACGAAGAAAATGTCTATTATCATTACCGTATATATATAATTTACTTTTCTTTCTTCTTGTTCTACATGTGAAAATCAGAACAACATTTTTAACAATTAAACATTTCTAACAAATACAAATTACAGCTATAGTAAAAACATTATGCTAAAGTCTTTCACAAACATTTTAATAAGGGACTGAGAATGACAATTGGTGCTCCTTCATCAATTAAGATGGTTATGTTTTATAGATGAGGCAAACATGTAATTGTCTCATGAATCAAACACATTGCAAGATTTTCTTCAACATGGACTATTACTTTTATCCATCTATAAATTTCACCACAGTGTTTTCAAACAACTACCAAATAATTTTCGACACAGTGTCACAGATACAGGGAACACAAATAACTGATTTGTACCCTTAACTAACATATAATTCAAACATTTGTCAAAAGCAGTTGTCATCCACAAAAACTGTTGCAGAAATGTACATGTGCACTAATTTGAACGTAACACACTATGGTCAGGTAGAACATCATTAATATGAAATGTACTGGACCTGCCGAATAAATTCACTTAAGCCAGCACTATATAATAAAGAAGATTTTATCTAAGAGACTAACTTAATTCCGTACAACTAGGTGTTTTAGAGTGCATTCACCAAGTGCTAAGAGAGTACCCCTGGTGCTGACGGCAAATGTATCTATATAGTTTATATAAGGGATAAATAAGAGCATGTCCGCAACATTTTCGGACCGCAACATATACAATTAGCACAATTCCAGCATTTATTCCTGTAGACTACCTACAATAAACTAATCACAATGGAGAATGTAATACCACATGATAAAAAATGGATGACAGAAAAAGAGGCGCCTATGTCGAACGCTGTCAGCTATTGAATTTTTTCTGGTTACCTATACATAGAAATACCATTTTCATGTGAGTTCGAAACCACTTTGTATGTCCCTATGGAGAAAATAATATTAAGAGTACACTGTATTTATCTTTACGAAGAAACAATAGCGCTATTATCCAGGAACGAGTTTTTAGAAAAATATCTTTTAAATTTTAACATGAAATGAAAGCAAATTTTATTAATTATATTATTTGTTTCTGGTGCCAGGTGAACAGCGATTGTACCGACAGAACATTGCCTTACATTTGCTCAGTCGGAAAAGTGCAATATCGTAATGTTTTACCTAATGATATAAAGTATTTTTTACTTGGCATATGTTTGGTATATGTTTTTTTTAAACTGCAAAACTTACACCCAGCTTGTATTGAACATGCCTGATTTTAACTTACAAAAACATGATAATTACGAAAATGGCTAATCAATTATGATTAGACTGGTTTACAGTATAGCAATAGGATAATGTTTTTTCTTATTCCTGTAAATTCAGCACCAGACATAAAGCGCGCGAGGTTTTCCGGAGTTAATATCAGCATGCATTGTTTGATTTGAATGTTTGTGAGTTTTGCACGCATAAACTTTTGTTGTCTTGACCGTGTGCATGCATATAAAACATGAAAAGAAAATCTATAAGCTGAAAATACTTTTCTACTTTTATAATTTGTACTGTTTGAACGGTCGTTCCCTTAAACACACAGTCATATATAGATTTGTGAAATTATATACATACACATACAAAATGCATTTCAAAAACACTTGACAACAAAAAAAGAAATACATTTATTTACTTTAATTGTTCTTAAGCGTACAATATATATGCCTACAAAATTGAAATGTATAATGCAGGTTAATCATGAATAATTGAGATTATTTGTTCAGAATATATACTCTCGTACATTTTACTTTAAAAACATTCGAACATGATTAAGCATAATTTCTTGCTTTGCTTAAGGTTATTTGTGATGTCATATTTTGTCAGTTGAACCAATTAGACATAATAAATGAATATCTAAAATAAATCATCTTTTTATTTTTAAAAATTTCATAATTTTCATGTAAAAATTCATTTATACCTACTTATCTTATTAAAAAACAGTTACTTTGTCGATGTTTTAATATATTTAAATACTTATTTCGAAAACAAAAGAAATAATACATACAATGTAATTATTTCTTATTCATGAAATTTATTATCTTATTTTCAAAAAAGACCAGTTTTATTTTTCTTATTTATCCTAAAAAATCACTATATTTTAATAACTGCAACATTTTCGTGTCATGTACCATGTAGTTCAATAGCCACTCAGTACCCCGTTCAAATATCATATGACAACAATAGGAAGGGGAAGGAAATTATCAGTACAAACACAATTGAAAATGTCTCAATATTCTTCTGCCGACAAATATACGTTTTTTATGAAATGAACCCAAGTTCACATGACATTATGGTTCCTGAATAGTTCATGAGAATTTTGTAAGACAAATGCAATATACCACATTTCATATAGAAGTCTGAGCAAGAAGAAATAAATCATATGCCACGATATAAAAGGCCAATTATTCCACGGAATGCTTTTATTCTTATTTCTTTATTTCTGAAAGGTTTGGGGTTTTAATATTTTTTTTGCTCTGATGTAGTTTCTAATATGCTACTTTTTGGCAAAATGCACATCTTTTGCTTTTTGCCTCAATTGCTTCTTGAAAATAAGTACTTTAATAGGTGGTAAATATTTTGTATGAAATGCAAGATATAACTTTCTTTACATTTTACTACTTTTATGACACATAATTTCACAG